GAATCTTTAGGCAGTTCTTTTGGAAAATTCATGACGATTGTGAAGCGGATTCCAGGTCCATTTCAAATGACTATTCAAAATAAGTTCTTAGATGATGGCAATTCAAAGGAAAATCTTAGAAAAATTAAAGATAATATCAAGCGAATTCTGAAGAGAGTTTCATGGATCTCAGAATAAAAACCAAGGAAGTCGAATTTTGAGGGAACAATTCCAAAGGAATTATGATATGAGTTTTATGAGAATTCCGAGTTTAATTCCAAGAGCATCTCGAGAAGAATTTCAGAAGGAGAATCCCAAGTAAATTTTCAGAAGAATTTAGTGGAGAGCTCCAAGGTAGTTATGAGCAAAATTGTGTGACAATTCTGAGTATAATTGCATGTAAATTATAAGGAATATTCAGTCTAATTCTAAATAGAATGTAAGGAGTATGTAAGTTAGTTTCAGCGAATCTTAGGATGAATTCTTTGATTTTTTTTTTCTGAAATGTTGTATAGACATTTTCAACGGTCTCTCGGAGAGAATCTCAAATTAAGGGGGTATTCCCGATCTTTTTTTTTCAAAAAATCAAATTTTTTTTTTCACGTTTTTTTGTACTTTAGACTATATACTTTCATCCCTCCAAGCCGTTTTCCGATCAGCGAATTCGGTGTCCAGGCATAGCTGACTAATGGTAAGAACCCCCAAATGGTTTTAACTAAAGTCAAAACTTTAAACGCGTTTTTCTCGAAACCACATTTTTTTTATCGGGCGAAGATTTTTCTCAGAAACTATAAGAGATATTGACTTGAATCTTTGCGCATTTTGTTCCTTATTAAATTCTTTGGAGCTTCTCCCACTTTCAGCCAAAAATATTAACATTTAACATTGTTTGAAGCACCTTAAAGTTGCAAAAAAGCGGGCTAAAAATCGCCTGTTTTTTCATATGGCCGCCATTTTGTTAATTTGCAAGATTTTTTGCTGCCAACGGGAGAAGCTCCAGAGAATCTTATGCAGATTATTATTTCATCGCGAAATCTGTTTCAGATGAAGCCGTTCCAGAGAAAAGTCTTCGCCCGTCCAGGCGTTTGCGGCGAACAGGGGTCTGTTTGTCGCCATTTTGTGACGTCAATAATGTCTTTTTTATGTCGAAAAAAAATTATTTGTAAACTTTAATGTTCAACAAACAAGAATCCCAAAGAGTTAGGCGCATTACTATTCATTTTCCTTGAAAAAAAATTAATTGAAAAACAGGCCGAAAAAAGGCAAAAGATTGGGAATACCCCCTTAATTTTAGAGAAACTCTGAAAATAACTCTGTGATAGGAAATGGTTCTAAAGGAAATTTGAGATCATTTCATAAAAATCCTGTAAAGAGTTTTGAGTGAACTTTTTTCAATATAGTTAAAACATCAAAAAATCTTAATGAATTCTTGATAATAAGCTAACGATTTAAAAAAAAAAAGAATTTGGTATTTCCCTGTTGTGAAATAAACACTTAAATTAAGCATATATGCGATTGAGCCGAAGAGATCACTAAGCTAAATGGGTTATAATTTAATAATCAGAAATTTCCCTGGCTCAAATCAACCGGGAAAATCACCAAAATTTTGGGAAAACCCTGGGAAATTACAAATTGGGATTTGCTGGTCACCATGATTATGACTAATGCTAATTTGATTTTTGTTTTATGTCACCCAAAATTTGAAAATTTAGCTCTTTTTAAAATTATTTTCTACTCTACGCTTTATCCTTAAAGTACACAATTATTTTATTATTGATTTATGAATTTATCATAAAATGAGTTACTTATACGTAAATTTATTTGTTGTTTTTAATTCAATATTTGCCCCTCCTCGTCCTATTTGAGTGATGTCGGACATAAAATGAAAATATTATTTGCATCATTCTTATGCCTTATTAGGTAATCAAATAATAATAAAGGGTGATACGGTCAAAATTTGGTCAAGGGAAAACGCGTGTAAATCGGTGAAATCGTTTATTTAAAAAATCAAATTAAATTTCTTTTTCAAGTTCAATTAGTATAAAATTCAGGAAAAATATTCAGTTAGGCTTCCGCTTTTCCAAATTCGAATTGCCGGGCCTTCCGCTTGACCCCTGCCATCAGATTTTGTACAGCCACCTTGTCCACCTTCTTCGCCGCAGAAAGCCAGTTTGCCTTGAACTGCTGCTCGCCCTTAGCAGTTTTTTTGGTCTTCTTTAGGTTCCGCTTGACAATAGCCCAGTATTTCTCAATTGGGCGGAGCTCTGGCGTGTTGGGAGGGTTCTTGTCCTTGGGAACCACCTGCACGTTGTTGGTGGCGAACCACTCCATGGCCTTTTTACCGTAATGGCAAGATGCCAAATCCGGCCAAAACAGTACGGAACAACCGTGTTTCTTCAGGAAAGGCAGCAGACGTTTATTCAAACACTCTTTCACGTAAATTTCTTGGTTGACAGTCCCGGAAGCTATGAAAATGCTGCTTTTCAAGCCACAGGTACAGATGGCTTGCCAAACCAGATATTTCTTTGCGAACTTTGACAGTTTCATGTGCTTGAAAACATCTGCTACCTTTTCCCTTCCTTTTGCCGTATAAAACTCCTGTCCCGGAAGCTGCTTGTAGTCGGCTTTGACGTAGGTTTCGTCGTCCATTACCACGCAGTCAAACTTCGTCAGCATCGTCGTGTACAGCCTCCGGGATCGCGCTTTGGCCGTCGTATTTTGTTTATCATCGCGATTTGGAGTCACTACCTTCTTGTAAGTCGATAGTCCGGCTCGTTTTTTGGCTCGATGCACGGTTGTAGACGATACACCCAGCTTATTTGCGGCATCTCGGAGAGAGAGGTTAGGGTTTCGCTTGAAACTACCGGCAACTCTCTTTGTCATCTCAGCGGCTTCCGGTTTTCGATTTCCCCCCGATCCAGACTTCCTGGCTGTCGACAAACGTTCCCCAAACACTTTAATTACATTTGTAACTGTTGATTTGGCAACTTTTAGCGATTTTGCCAACTTTGCGTGCGAGTAGCTCGGATTTTCGCGATGCGCGAGCAAAATTTTGATACGCTGCTCTTCTTGCTTGGACGGCATTTTGACAACTGAAGAGTGAATTCCAAAATCAAAATAGGAGCAACATTCTACACACACACACCTTCAAAATGAGGGGTGTTCAGGTTTTTTAAATGCAAAATTGAAAGAAATACGTCAAGTTGATATTGACCAAATTTTGACCGTATCACCCTTTAACAAGGCAAATGTTGACAATTTTTAGACAATAAATTTTAAAGACCTCGGAATTAGAAACTTTTGAAACACCTCAGATTTGTATAGCTCTAAGAGATAGACAATTTACTCAAATGCGAATTTTAATGAACGGGACTCACATCTGGAAATCGAAAAAAAAAAACTGAAAGATTCCGGGATATCGAAATCTCTAGGACAAACAAGTTAAGAAACTTGTACGGCCCGGAATAATTTTCATATTTTGAATATAGGGAATGTAAGTTCACAGTCCTTGAAAAATTTAAATTAGTAAATTTTCCTAGACCATTTTTTGAAATATCTAAGACTTGGAAAGCTTCCAAGATCACGAAGTAAAGAAGCCAGGATGTTGGAATCAGATTTTTTTTTATCGAAACCTCAGAAAATTTGCGATTAAGTTTTTTTTTTTACTATTTAGTGATCACAAGGCAGAAGTTAGAAATTTTATAATTTGGTCTGAAAAAAAAAACCGAAGATAACGGACCTGAATGTCTAAATCACGGAGATGAAAAAAATAAAAATATTAGTGATTCCATCAGCACCAATTGGACGTTCTGGGCTGTTCACAACTCTCGCTGAATTTTAATGAAACTTTTTTAACAAAAACTTGTTACCAAATCAAGCTGTTACTTGATGTGATTTTTTAAAGGAAAATTATTTACTCTTGACATTATTAGTCGTAAAAAGTGACTTTAGTGACTAAATTTTAAGAAATAGTGACTATAGTGACTTTTAGGTGAAAAAAGTGACTTTTTAGTGACTGACTTGAAAATAGTGACCAAGTAACTAAAAAGTGACCTGCTACCAGCCCTGCTATTGTTACGACAGACTATTGTTACGAAGTGGATTAAAATTGTAAGTTACCTAAATTGTGCTAAAAACATGCGTTGATACAAAAACATTAATTAAATTACAGCTAAAAGCTAACTTTAAACAAACAAACATACGAGTTTGCCTTTAAGAGGTCCGTCTCCATACTACAATACAATACTAATAAACATATACCGGTAGGTTTTAATACGTTTTTCTATTTTATGATCAAAAACATTTTCTTTACACATTCGGGGCGAAATGCACTCCTATGTTTAGGGCAAAAACATCTTTTTGTAAACAAGCTTTGTTTACGTTCTATTCTTTCTTCAGAAAGGTCCGCAACGTTCCGAAGTCTATTAAGTGGTCATGGACCTTTGATCAACTACGATCGGAGCTGGAGGCTGTTGAAAACGAAGACGTTCTACTGCCTCAATTGGTCATGATCATTTACACGACGGCAAAGAGAGTCATATTTTCCCCACGATTGTAGTGCATTTTGCCCTACTGCTGTAGTGCATTCTGCCTCATCATGGTGCGTCTTGCTCCTTTGTTGTAGGGCATTTTTCCCCAATTAATAGCATTTCCAGATTATTTTATCAATTGCTAAAACCTCTTTTACAGATATTTTTTCAAACTTTTCATGCATGTTGCGAATATAAACAACTGACAGGAACCCCTAGATCATATGATTGAAACAAAAGCGTCAGATTTTGAAAAAAAAAATAATTAGATAAAATGATAGTCTGCATTACCGACGAACATAGCATCGCCTAAATGTATGCTGAACAATTCTCACCATAGCATACGACTCCTATGCCAAGCGAAGCTTTAGCAGTGCAAGCAGCAATATTTGTTTTTATTTATTTTCTTTTGCACTAAATCTACTTGTTATCCAGAAATAATAAATCAATAACTGATCAGTAACGTTGTTGTTCTCGTTTTTCTCATTTCAGCTCATTACATTGATTTCGCTGGCTTCGGCTTCGCCGCACTTGCTGAAGAAAAAGCTGATATTTTCCACAGATAGTGATGGTGGTTATGGCGGTGGTGGCGGTGGAGGCGCAGGTTCTGGTGGCTTCTCGATCGGTGGAGGGGGTTTCGGATTGAGCTTCGGCGGTGGACTGTCGGGTGGTCATGGCGGAGGTGGCGGTGGAGGCGGTGGCGGCGGGTTTGGAGGAAGCACATCCCAGGCCCAAGCTGGAGCTTTTGCTGGGACAGGTGGTGGTGGTGGTGGCGGAGGTGGTGGTGGATACTCACCTTCGTACGGACATGGCCATGGTGGGCAGGGTGCAGTAAGCGGTCCTAGTGTAGGTCATACGAATAGCAATAGTTTTGCCAGTGCTAGTGCGAGCAGCTTTGCCAGTGCCAGCGCTGGTGGACACAGCGGTGGTGGATTCGCTGGCGGTTCTGCACCAGGTGGAGGTTCGGTTGGCTACGTTCCAAGTGGAGGACATGGTGGACACGGATCAAGTGCTAGCGCCGGTGGTGCTGGTGGATTTGTTGGTGGCTCATCGGGATATGCTCCGAGTGGCGGCCAAGGTGGTTATGGCCATGGAGGTCAAGGATCTGTCGGATTTACTGAAAATTCTGGAGGTCATGGAGGTGGATGGACTCACGGGGGCTCAAGCTCTAATGGTCATGGATTTGCTGGTGGTAGCGGAGTTACCGGTGGTTATGGCGGAGGAATCACAAAAGAGATTACGATTACCAAACATGTAGATAGACCGGTGCCAGCAAAGCCAATCGTGATAGAGAAACCCGTTCCCGTTCCTGTTGACAGACCATACCCCGTGTACATTGAAAAGGAAGTTCCTGTAACGATAGTGAGAGAAGTTCCTGTGAATAGACCAGTTCCGGTGCCAGTTGGAGGATCCGTTGGTGGAGCAGCTGGTGGAGGAAGCTATGCATCGGCATTTGCTGGAACCGGTAGTTATGCTTCCGGAGGAAGCTATGGAGCCGGTGGTGGTGGAGGACAAGGTGGTGGATACGGTACTGGTGCAGGTGGTGGTGGAGGAGGTGGCCATGGAGCAGGTGGATACGGAGGAGGTGGCTACAGTGCAGGAGGATATGGTGGCGGTGGTGGCGGCGGTGGTGGTCATGGATTTACAAAAACGATCACCATTGAAAAGAACTTTAACAAACACAAGCACCATCATCATGGATGGTGATAAGGATGATATGATAATACTTCCTAATACTAATCGTACGTGAATTCGCAAAACATGCCTGAAAAAGTTTGTACAGAGCTGATAGATTTTTTTAAAAGTTGATTAATTAAATTGTAAAACTTAGAGTAAGAGATTTTTATTAAATAAAACGTTAAAAATTCAACACAATTACTATGTTAATTATCACAATTCAATCCATTAATCAAAGGGTTGTGGTACGGGGTGTTCAACATTTTCCATAGCCGCTCAAGTATCACCATCGTGATATAATTATCGATTTCTACGAAAATATAAAGTAAGTACATGTTATACCTTCGCACGAGTTTACCTCTGAGTGGAGAATATTTGGGGTAATGACTTTCGGGGTAATGCAGATTAAATTCATATGATGTTTTTCACCCATGTACAAAGATAAATCCGGCATAATTTCTGTTTTACTTTTCCTATGATTCATTACATTTCCTTTTCTTTTTTATATTTTATTGTTACGCGTAACTCTACCGAGCACCCCCCCCCCCTTAATACACTCCCTCCTACCCCTATTTCGTTACGCAATTTGTGAAACGTCCCTTATTACATTCCCCTGAATGTTTTGCAACACAATATCCTTCAATAGCAGTATGATGACACTAGCCAGCCAGTGTCGATGTTGATGCGTCGAATGCCTATCGTCAAGAACTATGCTGCTGCTTTCAAGGCCACCCGTTAGTCGAGAGTGAACGGGAGCCATTTGAGGGTATGCTATGCTATACTTTCCGCTCAGACAATGCCTCATAATAAGTGCATAAATTAGGTGAAGATCAATCCACATCGTCCGTTGCTGCCAGCGTCGGCATCGTCGCAAAACACCGTTCGTTTGCACCCATCCCCATCAGACCCCTTCAATCACGCGACGACGACGCCCTAGGCCAAATCAATGGCAAAGCCGCCAATCCGGTGTGCGAACAGACGAAATTAATCTTGCCGTGGACGATGTTTTTCGGGCTGCATTTTTATCATTCATACGCGAGGTGATGAACAAAAAATCGACGGGTGAAAATTATGCAACATTGGCGCTTTTGTATGGAAAAACGGCGCGTCTTGGCGCAATGGAGTTGTTTTGATTGTAAGGTCATGTCGACGACAGAGGATTGAAATTGGCCCTCCAGCTGTGTTTTGTCAGCTAAATAGTCACGCGACGATGGAGGCCGATTTTAACGTTAATTAGATTGCAATTAATTAATCTCGGTGACAAAAGGTGGAGATTCTAGGTACCACACTTTCCACTTGCCTTATTAGTTGCTACGCCACGTTGTGAAACATACCATTATTCATAGTCCTCATCAAGATTGCTTCTAACATTTAGAAACTTAATTACACCACACACCGACTGTTTGAATGACTCCATCGTCCAGCAGCTGGCAGGTGAAATCTTGCACTTGGATGGCACACCATCTAGAAGAGAGCATCTCGGAGAGCCTGTCCAGTAAGTAAGGTCGTCCATATTGGCACTTTGGAGTAATCGCGTCCTAATACAAAGAAGAAATGCAGCTCTTTGCCTCGTGCGCTTTTACTCAACCCAGTACAATCTGCATGTCTTGTTTGTGAGTACGATCCAGTCAGTCTTGGTAACGAGTTGCAACGAGCTCGATATTTGATGGCTTTTTCTTGGATCCACAACACGGAGGCGATGATCTGGCGGTGACCAGGTTGACCAAGTCGCGCGCTTCGTCGTTTTGGGTCATAGCACCTCCCCCGTTCTCCCCGTTATTATTGCAAAGTGGCACTTGAGCGGTGTGGCTTCTCTTCAGAAGTCATGTGGAGTGCTTGTTCGACCGGTGGACGAAGGCGGGCGGTAGTTAGGGGCAAGTATCACACTCGATGTGTTATTATTTACCTGGCAAGCCGTAAAAAAGTAAGCAATATTTTCGTTATGCAATGAAGAAGTCGTCTGGCGTTGATATTCGTTGAACTCTAGGAAAATTGCCGGAGCAAAGATGACTAAACATGATTGGTTAACCCCGGCAATGGCAAGAGCAACAGGCAGCCGGTTTGGAAATGAAAAAGCTAGATTAACCTATGTTTATGCGTCATTTCTTAAACGCAATCTGAAGAAATCTGTTGGAGGATACAATGTTTCGATATCCACGGAGCTAATTTTCTGGATGATCTTTTCTTGTTCGTTAGTTAAGGAGTGTTTTTAATCAACACTGAATAGAAAAACATACGAATTGGCTATTCATGTATTTATTCAGCCTTCGTCGGTTTCGCACAACCTAATCTTAACCTATCATATTAACTTTAAACCTTGTGGATGGATTTGTTTTAATCAATAGATGCAACATGTTTTGGCCCTGGAGATGGAAAGTGATAGCTCTATTGAAAATCCAACGACCCATTTCAAGAATGCCTGCTTATACATAAACATACTGAGGTCGCCTTCATACATAATAAGCTCCACATGAATACATTCACATATTAAATCGATATCTGCAGAATAAAGGGTGTATTCGATAAAAATGGCACATACAAATTTACTCACCAAAACTAAACCGATTATCGGATTTTCTTGAAATTTTCAGGAAATGGACAACTACGTTTGGGTTATGATTGGCAAAATTTGTTTTATTCAATTTCGTCTCCCATTCCGAATGCCCACACCTTCCTTTTCACTCCACCCATCAAATTTTGTAAAACCGATTTTCCCAGTGTTTTAATAGATTGGGATGTTTGCGAAGTTCCTTCTTCATAATTGCCAAGAATTTTTCAATTGGGCGAAGTTCCGTTGAATTTGGTGGGTTCATATCTTTTGGCACAAAATTGACTCCGTTGGCTCGGAACCACTCCAACACGTTTCGAGCATAGTGGCAGGATGCTAGATCAGGCCAAAACAGAGTTGATCCTTTGTGGTTCCTTATGAATGGCAAGAGACGCTTCTCCGTGTAAATTGCACCGTTCACATTGGCGTAGCTAATGGGGATGCCAAGGGGGCCAGGCCCCCTCCAGAATTTTTGAGGTTTTTTATTTGACACGCCGGTATTTTGTCAAGCTTGTCATGTTCGATGTCACCATTTAACAGCCATTAATAAAATTGGACCACAAACAACGATGCTCTGAAATAGAAGAAACAGTTTTGAGAAATTATTTTGTTGTTTATTAATTTATTTAACCGAATTAACTTTACAGAGCCGAGGATTCTTGTTCACTATACAAAACATCTTAAAACTATAGTCAAAAGGCACAACACAATAAACATTTTATCTTCCGCTATCCAATAAGCCTCGTCCACCAGAACGGGAGCCGCTTCCAGTGGTTTACTTGTATGGCAGATTCGCCAACGAGGGTCAGAGCGCTTCCATTGCAGAAATGGACGCAAAACGTGGTCAGTACTCACACATTCATCACGAAACAGTTGCTTTCCAAAGTCGACGGCGCATCGACTGAAAGAACTGCTGATGAAGAACAATGAGGAGGACCACACAATGGTGGCTGCCGAGTAAACAGACGATCGCGTGACACATGTTGAGAGTGGTCTACTTATGTCGACAGCCGAGTGAACCATTTTGAGAAATTATATTATATCGATATTTAATCGATGGCATCATACGACGTCTTCAGGATCTACACATTGACGATGAGCCCAGGGTATTTTCTTCAACGTCTGGGAACTTCGTAAAACTTCAAGGACTTCTAAGAAGGTCAGGGAGCATCGTAGATATTGAAGAAACTTTGTAGAAATTTGGGGATCTTCATAGATCTTCATAAAAAATCGGAGAAACAAAGAACTTGGAAAAGTTCTGAAAACTGCATAATAGTGAAAAATTTATTTAAGTTTGAGGAGCCTCTTAGAAATTAAGGGATCATTATTTTATTTCAGGGAAGCTCATTATTGATATATAATTTCAGGGCACTTTTTTGAAGCCTAATGGACTTGGTACAGTTGTGGAAATCTCGTACAAATTAAAGAAATTTCGTCCTTGAAACTGCGTGGAAACAAGAAACGTAAAAATGCAGCAAACGTTGTAGATGTTTTGCGAATTTCGTAGCATTTTGAGGAGCTGCGAAAACTTCATATAAGTGTAAGGAATTTTGAAAAAGTTCTGGAAATTTTGTAGAAGATCCAAAAATAGTTCAAAAAACTCATAAGAACTTCAGGGATCCTCGCTTCAGTATAGGGAGCTTCGTTGGAGTTTGTCACAGATCTTACTTAGAAAAAGTTCAATGAATTTTTTTGGAGGTTTTGGGAGCTTAAATTTAATGGAATTTTCTAGATGTTCAAGAATATTTGTAGATGTTAGGTGTCTCTTCAGAATATGTACAGAGATCTACGTAGGCTTACGAGATAAGGAATAAAAATGGAATTGGGAATAATTTCAGAGATCTGGGGGGTTTTATAGATATTCAGGAAACGTTGCATAAGTTTTTCTTTTTTTATTATTATAATCACTTTAACGCTCACATATGGGTTTGAGATCTCAATACTATTTTGATTTAAACATAAAGAATGTTAATAATTGTGCATAAACATATATCTTGCAGAATTTTCTCAGTCCTAAATGTATGAAATTTATTCTGTTTCTTTATCATGTTTCCCAGCATTTTAGAAAATTATAAAATTCAAACTGGTTGGTTCCTATGTCTGAGATTTAACTGACGATGAAATATTGAAAATCTAAAAAATCTATTTACAAAATTCATTGAATTACCTTGCTCTGAGAACTATCTAAAATTTGAGATACATAAGTTTATTGTAGGGTTCGGACTTGATTTAAAACAACTAGGGTAAATGTTGGCTTCGGCACCCATTGACTGTTTTCGGCAACCAAAATTTAAACGTTAATTTCACTATGTTTTCCCATCAACGCACTTCCCTGAATGTGTCCAAACGATTGTTTAGCCTTTCAGCTTCAATCTGATTATATTTGAACGATCGAGCAATCCAGTAATGCTACATTTTTCTTCAAATAAAGCATACGCACTAAAAAATGGGGTTGATTTCGAGTTGCCGATAATAGAACAGCTGGTTAACACGCAGTTCTAATGGGAAGGTTGCCGAAGAAAAAGAGG